ATATATATATATATATATATATATATATATATATATAAATAAATAAAAAGAGTAATGATTTTGCATAGACATTACAGAAATGCAAGAAAAAAATCACGCTCAATAGCGAGACACGAACAATTCAATTTTTGTACAGTAAAATCTATGTGTACTAAAATATCATACATCTAGTAATCCAAATCATGCTCCAAAAATTAATTTTTTGCAAGAGGGAAAAAATATACAATTTGATCCGGAAGGAGCACATTAGAATCGATCACAATTTTTCTACAAAAAAAAATGGTAAGGATTCACACGAGAATTTTAATGAAGTCAGGGACAAAGAGGGTTTATCCATGTGTGGGTATGACCGTCATTATCTCCTCTGCTCTCGCTGTTTTATGTTGCGGCATCTGCTCGCGACAAAAAGCAAATATCCCTCCAAAATTAGGGCACCGTGTTGGGCCTTGTGCTATGTATGTTTTCTCCATCCCTCTCAAAAATTCCTCCATTTTTTTTTATCGGACTCTGATTTATAGGTTTTATCTCTCTCTTTCCTTTATTGGATCAAAGGATTGCTTTCACGATTGTGTGCATTTTCTGCATTTTAATGTCCGTATTGTGATTGAGTCATTGGTATTGGACTAGAAATTTGTTTTGTTATTGATTTTAGGAGTTACTATGTTAAATTTGGTGGATTTTAGGTTAAGCTTATGGCTGGTTATTGAAGGTCCTGTTCATCTGATAGTGCTAGGGATTTGTCATCTTTGAGGAAGAGTTCTGAGTTGATAGTTGTCATATTTTAGTTTTTGCCTGTTTCATGGCTATTTCAGTGCATCATTTTTTCCTTTTTTGTTTTTGCCTGTAAAAAATTGATTGTGATCGAATGTTCTAGAAAATGTGAAATGTTGCTACATCGGATGGTTTATAATTCAAGCGATTGATTAATTTTCTGTATGGTTTAGTGATTTATCAGGGATTTTTCATATTTAATGAAGAATTCAGAATTGATAGTCATAATATTTTTTTAGATTGTGCGTATTTCATGGCTGTTGCAGTGCATTTCTTTGTATAAAAGTTTTTTAATTTTGATCCGGAATTCTAGATAATCTGATATTTGATGATTCAAGTGATTAATTAACTTTCGGTATGATTTAGTAGTTTTACTATTGTAAAAAAAATTGCATTTTTTCGGGTTTCATGGCAATTTTCATTTATTTTGTGTGGCATATTGTCCAAATGAACATGCTTGGATTGTTAAGATTCTGGCATTTTGAAAAAGAAATATGTGATCCAAGCTTTTCTAAATGGGATTGGAGATTGATCCATCTCTGCTTAATTACAGTGCTAATAGTGGTGTAAAGGATATTAATTATATGATTTTCTTTTAATAACAATCTGGCATTATTCTTACAGAGGAAGATTTTGAACTTTGCAGAGTCGAAATCTCCAATGATCAACTATCCCTAAATCAAGTTTCAAGGATTCATTTTGTTTATTCGTACGAAAGAGCTGACATTTGAGCCTTTGTGACCGATCCTTTCTAGATTGGGGCCAAACCTTGGAACTTAAGCTTGGGTACTTTTTGGTTTATGCAATTTAGCAGGTCTAGCGGGCTGTGTGAACAAGTTTGTTTATTTATCTACAGTCAAAACTTTTCGTGACTGATTCATTATAGTTCAGTGTTAAAGCTTTGGATTTAAGGCCCAAGCTTCTTTATAGCCATCACCATATAGATATTTAGCGTATTTGTGACTGTACCAGTCTTGTTTGGTGGTAGGATCTTGAGATTGTTACTGGTGGGGTCCATTTTTGGTATTAAAAGCTCGGGAGTTGGGGCCATGGCTTTCAGTGGAACACAGCAGAAGTGTAAAGCTTGTGAGAAGACTGTGTATGTGATGGATCAGCTTTCAGCTGATGGGGTATTGTACCACAAATCTTGCTTCAAGTGCAACCATTGCAAAGGCACCTTGAAGGTAGAATCTCAAGTCATTTGCGTCTTCATACACAGATTCTCACTTTACTCTTTTCTTTTTACCTTCTAAGAAAACATATTGTTTTCGTTTGATTGTAATTCTTTTCGTAGGGATCAATAATGAATAGCGCTGCTATTATTCTTTTTGTTATCTGAAAATTGTCATTGTCAATGTCTATGTTGCTAGAACCAATGTATTAGAAATGTTCTGGCCTCTCATTCGCCTGGAGAGCTGTTCTTGTTTGCCACTCTAGAGGATTGTAGAGAGTTCATCTGTAATTGGTTTACTTAGTTCCGTAATTGGTTTACTTAGTTTTGTAGATCTTGCCATGAGAAATGCAGATTGTTTACCATTTGGCCTTTGGCATCACCGTAAGACTGCTACTCATTTGGTAAGCAGCATTGATGAGATTGCTACCCATATAGCTGTTGTTTCTCCTCCTGATAGATCTGAAGCTTCTGTGGAAAGCTAAATAACCATGAAATCTTATTTCCTTTTCTTTTTTTTAAATTGACCATGAAATCTCACATTTAGTTATCACATGAAGTTCGCTAGACTGTTATTATAGAAGCTTACAACATGAAATGACCTGAATGCATGCATGTATACATATACACATGTGTGTTTACACCAGTGTAGGAAAAATTGTGCAGTTCAAATCATAACCACCTGGTTATATCGGAATCGGCCATTGGTTTCAACCGGTTTTGATGAACCAACCGGGTATTTTTAAAAAAATATAAAAATATATAAAAAATCCCAAAAAATAAGCGATTTGTTTATAATGTATTTTTTAATTTTTTTTATCATTTTGGCAAAGATTGAAATTTTTTTTGGCCATTAATACTTATTTTTACATTTTCCCATCTTTTTTTGGAAAATTTTTAAAATACCCCTGGGCACAAATCGTTTCTTTAAAATCCATTTTTTTTTTTGTCAATTTTCAACTTCATTTAAATGTGTTTTGTTTAATTATACTTTTCATATCTTATTAGATTTTTGCATTTTTTTACCCTTCAGGATTTGCCCGGTTAGGCCGGTTGAATCGCTTAACTGTTCTGGTTCAATTTTTCCTACACTGATTTACACAAAAACGCATATGTATTCAAAGATATCCTCATGTGCACATAAACACATACTTATTCAAAGATATCCTTATGTGCATGGATTAGGATTTGCCTTCATAGGGTAAGCTCTTTGATTGGACAGAATTCGGTGTTTCAGGCTCATGCGTTGTATTTCGACTATGTAACTCTTTGTGGTAGCTTCCCCGGAAAACAGCCAAAAATATGCTATTCTTTTGGAGGGCTTATGTAAAATTCCTCACACATTGTGCACGGGTTTAAAAATCATCATGCCTGTATTCACACATGTGCGTGGGGTTTCTTGAGAATCTACTATTCCGAGATTTGATATGAGGTATGGATATAGATAAAAGGGATGTAACTTGGAACTTTTAACATTTTTTGTAAATCCATTACTAGGAGATGCATTCAAGTATCCTGTCCAGTGTTTTAAAACCTGGCAATTTCCGATCCTGATCGCCGATTCGGATGGGAATCGATCGGGACTAAACCGGTTCCAAGATTGTATGGGTCCTAGCCCTGTTCCCTCATAAAACTGGCCTTATCTATTTTTTTTTCTTTTTTTTTAAGTTATCTAATATTTTCTTAGGTCCCCTCTATATCTATTTAATTTTAATTTTGTTTCATTTTTTTTTTAATACTTTTGTGGATCGCTGATTCGGACTGATTCAGACCCTCCGGATCGTCGATCCAGCAATCCAACACGAATCTAAGGGTGAACGATCTGCCCCACCGCTCCGGGATTTGAAACACTGTGCCTATCTATGACATCTATAGATATAGATTTTAACTTGCATTAACACATGTATATTCGTCAAATTCATTAATGCATATAGTTAATTCATGTTATGTTTTTGTAGTTGTGTGATTTTATATTTACAATTATCTAAGCAGTATCTGGAATCAGTGCCAGTGATGATACCACACAGGCAGTTAGGCATGTATAAGTATTTGTGCTTCACAGTGAGGAAAATAATCTCCTTTTTGGGTTTATTTGTGATATACTGGTTTAAATTTCAAGAATCGTGGAATTTTGCAATTTTTCATGCACTGTTGTTGTAAATGCAGCTGGGTAATTATTCTTCCATGGAAGGTGTGCTCTACTGTAAGCCGCACTTTGAACAGCTCTTTAAGGAGACTGGCAGTTTCAACAAGAGCTTTCAGTCACGTGAGTTTTCCTTGTTTGTTAGAATTATTGCACTAATTCTTTTTTCTTTTAGTGTCCTTTTTAGATCCTTACAAATGTAACAACTCGAATCTTATTTAGTCATGTTGTCTTTCTCTTGGCAGCTGCAAAATCAGTTGAGAAGCTGACGCCTGAACTGGTAAAGCAATGTCTAAATTTTGAAAATTTTCCCTTTTTTTCACCGGCTTGTTTTGAAGCTCTAATTTGTAAATGAAATAGTATAAAATAATCAAATGTTCAATGGAGAAAACATCGTCCACTGAGGCCTTCACCATCCAGTGACATGGATGGGGATGGACAGAGTGGGATCCAGAAAACACAAGATGACCCCAATAGTGGGGTTCTAACACTCTGCAACATCCATTATTTCCTTGGATGGTCTGAGTGATGAAATAACTCCCATGTCATTTTCTCTCTCTCTGATATTAATATTTTTGTTATATCTTTTGCCTCAGACTAGGTCACCTAGCAAAGCTGCCTCCATGTTTTCTGGGACACAAGACAAATGCGCGACTTGTGGTAAAACTGCATATCCCTTGGAAAAGGTTAGTTTTCCATGTCCTTGTTCTTTTCCATTGTGTTTCCAATCTCTTACCTGATGGTGATGGACTTGTGTTTTTGTGTTGGGTGATAGCTCCCTTGTTATATTAACGCCCAGTGTTTAAAAAGTCACCATGCCAACTCACGATTCGCTTGAATCTGCCCGGATGCCAGGAGATTCTGGGCCGAAAAACCACAGAACCGGCCGAGCCTCCTGAATTTTCATTACTTCAAAATTTTTCTTGTTAGAAATTATCCGTTTCAACCTGGACTCATCCGAGTCAGACCAGGGGGACTTGTGCTCGGGCCTCTAGTGATTCGGAGGATGATTCCACTTTTTAAATGCTGCTCACAACTCCTTTAATTCTTGTTGGCTTTTGCAGTAAACCTGCAAAGAAAGTAGGATAGTTCTATGGTATATGCAATACCATAGTCCATTAGGATCATCACCGTTGGATGAAATGATGGATGGTGATGGTGAGAGTTGGCCTAAAAGAACAGGAGGTGACTCCAATTGCGGGTTACACTTTCTCGTTCTCCATCCGTTATTGGACAGTGATGGCCTCAATAAACTATGATTTTCACCTATCACATTGGATTGTAGTGTGCCTTCCTACAAATACACCTTCTAACCTTTACTTTGTTAAGGATAACCTTGTAATTAACGAGTATTGGAACAGAAAATACATTGTGAAATCCTCAACAAAATTGATGCTCACTACAGCAACCCTTTATTAGTTCTGAAATGTGTTCTTCCTATAGAACAGATTTTGTTCTATGAATCAGTTGAATAGTTGATAATCATGTCCCCTTTCTTTATTATAGTTTGTAAGGGTGTCGCGGTGTGTTTGTGTATGTGAGAGTGAGAGAGAGAGAGAGAGAGTTATAGAAAGGAACAAATGCAGATAAAAGAGAATGTTGCTGCATGTGAAAGATGGGTGGGTGGGTGTGTTGGTGGGAGGGTGGTTGGCTGTGGGTGGGTGGGCGTGTGTGTGTGAGAGAGAGAGAGAGAGACAGAGAGAGAGAAATGCAGAGCAAAGAAAATGTTGCTGCATGTGAAAGATGGGTGAGAGAGATAATTCTAGGAGGGTGATTGCTACCTCTGATGACCACGTAATTCAATGGATTAACATGTATACCTGTTTTTGGGTTCTTTTTTAGGTTTTAGTAGTTGTAAGTATATTTTGGTGGAATCCTCAGGTGACTGTAGAGAGTCAATCCTATCACAAATCCTGCTTCAAATGCTCCCATGGAGGCTGCCCAATCACTCCATCAACCTATGCAGCACTCGAAGGCATTCTTTATTGCAAGCACCACTTCTCTCAGCTCTTCAAGGAGAAAGGCAGCTACAACCATCTCATCAAGTGCGCTACCATGAAGCGACAAGCTGCTCCCGTTCCAGAGGCTTAACAATCTGTGTTTTGTGTGATTTTTCCAGGTCTCTCACTCTCTCTTTCTCTCTCTCTCTCTCTGCGCACCTGTTTGAGGTGTGATATCTGCATGAATTTCAGCTCTCTCTCTCTATATATATATATACATATGTGCGTGTCTCAGTCTGTTTTGTGTGCATGTCAGGTCTCTATATTTCCTTCTAATGTCTCTCTCACATATGCCGCAAAGTTCTTTTTTGCTCTGCATATGTTCCAATACTGTAACTCTCTCTCTCTCACACACACATATTATGTTCTATTTTGCTATGTAGTTTTTTCTGATTTCTCTTCATCGTTGTCTTTTTGACCCAGGTTGTATTCGTTTTGGGCCCGAAAAACTTGGGCCCCCCCGTGTGGTTCATTTATGTGGGACGCGAGTTCTGGGTGGTTCATGGACCGTTATATGTGTTTGTTCTGTTTTGTGAGTATAATTATATGATGTAGGTGGTATTTGCATTGGATATATGCAAAGTTTCCACTACAGTATTACATATGAAATGGCATGTTTCACGTGTTCTTGGTTGGCTGCCATTGAGGAGCTGCAATGTAATTTCTTTGATGGATTATGGCTCTGGGATTCTAGGGCTGGAAAGAGAGAGATAGAGAGAGAGAGAGAGAGATTGGGGGGGGCCTCATGCCGGCTGGGTGTTGAAACTTGGAAAAAAAAGGATTGAAATGAGAGAAATATATAAGAGAGAGAGAGAGACTCGGGCACACTGGGTATTGAAACTTGAAAAAAGAGTACGTTAAAATGAGGGAAATTTCCAATTTGGAGTGAGGAATGAGATATTCTGTGGAACTTAAAATTATTCTCAATTTTATTTTATTATCATATCCAACACTTTTTAAGAACATGTACAATATTCTATATCAAATTAATTTCAAACTTTGGCTATCCAGACTTCACGCTGATATGCACTAGAAAATATAAAATAATATTTTTAAAAATAAAAATTTAACTAAACTACCTTGAATGGATATTTTGATGGAAAAAGTTTATATAAGGTTGCAACCTTAAAATGTAGAAATAAGATGCACCTCAAAAATCCGTCGGAAAATGTTGTATTAATGTTGATCATTGAGATGTATGAATATGAAAAAAAAAAAAAATTTAAGTCCCAAAAATAATACATCTTGCAACACATTATCTAAACCGTCGATTTTCAAGATTTTCATATGTTATAAATCTACATGATTTTAACCATTTTTAGATTAAAATTTTATAATGAGATATGAAGATTTTGAGATAATCTTAGGAGTTGGTTACATTAAAATTACATGTTATTATAAAATTTGAAGGTGCGCTTTAATTAGATTGTTTAAGGTTGCAACCTTATAGAATCCACACCTTATTTTGATTATTTTATTTTTTTAAATATTTTTATATTTTTATATATGTGATGGTAATAAGTATGCGAACACAAAGTCAATCCAATATATGGAAGTGAAAAGGTAAAATTTATATACTTAACATGTTCTTAAAAGTAGGTTAGTATGACATAATTGTACTTATAAAATAAATGGGTGTGGTTTCCACAAGGTAGCAACCGTAAACAATCCAATTAATGCGCACCTTCAAGATTTATTATAACATATAAATTTGATGTAAAATATTTTTAAGGTTATTTCAAAATCTCTTTTCATATCTAATTATGAAATTTTAACTTTAAAAAATAGTTAAAATTTTAACTTTAAAAAATAGTTAAAATTTTAACTTTAAAAAATAGTTAAAATTTTAACTTTCAAAAATAGTTAAAATCAAGTAGATCTATAAACATATGAAAATCTTAAAAATGAATGGTCTAGATAATGTGTTGTAAGATGCACTATTTATGGGATTCAAAATCTTTTTATTTTTTTATAGTCATACATCTCGATTTCGAGATGATCAATTAGAGGGTTTTTCAATATTAAAACAACTTTTTCCGAGAGGATTTTTTATGTTCATTTGCAGTTTTACATTTTAAGGTCGCAACCTTATATAAACTTTTTTCAAAATAAATATTCTTAAATTTTGTAAAAAAATAAGGAATATTTACAGTTACCTCTTTGAGAGAATAACAATCATTAAGCACCGGGAAATACATAGAGAAACGTGTATTGAGAGCCAGGAATCAAATAAAACATTGGAGGAAATGGAGTTTTTTCACATGTTCTGGGGGCAAATAAGATTTTCTTGGATGAGGTAGAAATCCTCGTGAGGTTATCTAAGTGGTTCTTGTTTTCTATCTTAATTCTTTTTTTCCTAAAATATTTCAATTTACACAAAATAATTCTTAAACCATGTTTGGTTTGCATGAAAATATTTTTTAAGAAATATTTTTACGTGAAAATTTTTTCTCATGTGGTTCATTGTGAGAATATTTTCACATCAACTGGTATAAAAATTTACAAAGGGACCAATTGGTGTAAAAAGATTCTCACGCTTAATCACATGAAGTTTTTTCATCGTAAAAATATTTTCCAAAAAATATTTTCACATAGATGTGCCTAGTATTCAAATTATAACTTTTACAATGGATTCCTTTTTCTTTTTTTTTACCAAAATTATAAATTTTTATTAGAAAACTTTTACAATGGATTCTTATACGGTGCATTTCTTAATATTGGGTTTGGAAAAGGCGACAGATTTTTTTTAAAAAAGGAGTTTGTGTTGCTAGCCATGGATATGGCTGCAAACATGATATTGCTCAGACCATTTGGTAGAGCAATGACAATAATGCCTCCCTCTATTGAATTAGGAACTTGCAACAATGATTTTTAATAAAAAAAAGTTGATGACTTTCATAGTACCGTGATTTTATTTGGACCGTTCAATTTAAACTAAAATGATGATATTATTATGGTATTTTATACTATAATAGTATTTATCTTTGGTACAAGGAGATCACAATTTTTACTAGCCATAAGATGTCAAATTGAATGGCTCCAGGTGTGTCACAACATTTTAAATTATTTTATTTTAACTTTAAGTTTAGTTAATCACACTGGCACAACCATCCAATTTGAAATCCGATGGACAATAGTGATTATGACCTATTTGCTTTAAAAATAAATAGTCTCTTGATATATATTTCCTACTATTGTTGTCATTACAAGCCTAAAATTAGGAACTCATAACAAGTATTTCCAGTGAATAAAATGTGACGTTTTGGTTTCCTAACCCCTGCTGGGGGCATAACCAACAATTTACTAAGCTCGCTTAATGATCATGTTTGTTTTGTTTTAAGAACCTTGGTCAGTAGATTTTAGTATGGAATATGTATTTTGAGTTTAGGACCCTACAATAATAGGGTTATTCATGTCATTTGGCTTGAATTACTTAACGGGGTATTTAAATGCTCTAGTTGTTCAAGGCTTGAAAACGGGCAATTTGAATATCTTTTGATAAACTTTCCAATGAAGTATCTAATTGAAATGAATTTGCAGAGCATTTTAGGGATGTGTTATTCGATTTCAAATATTATGATTTAAAATATGTATTCCACATTGTTGTGTTTATATTTAAGATGGAATCCTCTACATGTGACTCCACCTTCCAATATAGCATATGCGAGTATTGGTCTCCTATCGATCCAATCTAACTGAACAGCTAAGACGACTTTACTCATAATGTCATGATTAATATTGTTTTATTTTTAATTTATTCAATATAAATTATGTTGACATTAGAATTAAGGCATGCTCGTTGCTTACGGGGGCGCACCTAGAAAAATTATTTCTTATTAGATAAAGTAACCAAAATACCATTGGAAATTGTAGAGGCATTTTGGTTAAATTTTTTTTATCAAAAAATATTTTTATCCTACATTGATATTTGCTTGGTTCGTAGCCATAGATTTGGGTAAATTAGTGAGGACGATGAACCCTGCCCATTTTTTAAATCGTTAGCGGTTTTTTAATGCATTAGGTGATAATGGAAGCCTAGACCTTAACTGGTGCACAAGTCGTGATACCATCACGACCCCAACCCCATCCTCAAATTTAGAAGGCTTATAAAGGGACTTTGATGTAGTTTTTTCTTTGATCTTTATGTTCCTTTCTAAATTCTCCTATGATCAATAATATTGTAGTAAAAAGCGTTCATGTTCTAAATTCCAAACAATGATGGGTATTTTTAATAATGTGCCCAAGCATAAATGGATGCATGTTGTCGGTTCAACATTTATTCTTATTGAAAACTCTTGTTTAGGAAGTGGCATTTATGTGGTTTAGCTTGACTTAGGTGGCCTCAACCAAATAACAACTGTCATGCCTGTAATAGGTTCAAAACTTGGGATATTTGTTTTTTATTGATATTTATTTTTGTGAGATTAGAAGATGAAACACAAGGGGGTATTCTAGTAATTTATTTCAATATTTATCATAGTCAATCTAAAATAGTTGGAAAAAAGCTCCGATAATGATGATGGCTCCAATTTCTATAGTTTTAAACCCTATAAAAAGATACATCTTTAGTGTTTTTTAACAAATAACATAGGATACACTTAAGTTGAATGAACTCATTAAAGTAACTACTTTGTTGATAACTTAGGAATATATTTTCTCCAAAATACCTAAGTGCTTAAGAAACATCAGTTATGGTTGGGTGTTGACCATATTTTTAGTACTCTGCTCAGTACAAACAATACCCTCACAAGTGGTCCTATAGAACCGTTTGAGATATTGTATTGATTAAAATGCACAATTAAGTTGTGACTTAATTAATCACATCTACTATTACAACTTATTTGGTATTTCACTTGAATATTCAAATGCATATTTAAAATCGGACATAGCTTTGGTGAGTCACCGACTCACCAAAATATATGTGCATCTCCTCATGTATCAGACTTCCGCCTTAGATATGGACATCAAGAAGTGGTGCTCATGCTATAAATCAAAATGAATAGTGGAAAAATACGATAAAAAATATAATTTTTATTTAAAAAAAGTAAAAATTCGAAATTCATAATCAGCGTGATAGTTGAGATTAACAAATATAAAAAAATTTGGATCTAAAATCAATCTTAAAAATAGATTTTGAAGTGGGGCCGCATATCTACATTGAGTTGGTTGACCCACCAAGCACTTTTCCCATTGAAATATCAACTATTATGACTCATAATTACATGTTATTTGATGAAACACTTTTAAATTACGTAAAATTACAAAATACATCGTAAAATAAACTATTTATGCAACTTACCCCCACTCCAAATTTTTCTCACACTTTTTTCCTTAAGCAAGATTTCATAGTAAAACCCCCCCAAGGTAAAAGTTATTATTATTTTGACGGAAATGCCCTTCCCATACAAACCAAATCAATGTACGATCCCAAATAGAGTAGTGCCGGAGCGCAGTATACTACTATCGGAGCGGAATGTTAAGAAGCACTGTTGGAGTGTGGTGCTACATTGTCGGAGCGAACTGCCAGAGTGCATATTTTCAGTGCTAGAGTGCATTATCGGATTGTCGAAGCATGCAGTATCACTGTCGGAGCGCAGTTCTCAGTATGTCAGAGCGATGCGGGTTAGACAAAGCACTGCCGGAGCGCACATTGTGACTACCAGAGCGCAGTCCTCCATTGCCGGAGCCGAAGGCTGCATGAAAAGAAACAAGAGATAGAAGGCCCTGTGAAAAGAAACAAGAGAGAGAAGGCCGTGTGAAAAGAAAAGACAGTATTTTAGTCTTGTTTTTTTGTTACTTTTCGGTTGGAGGGTTTTTGCGAGGAAATGTTATTAGGGGGAGAAAGTGTGAGAAAACTTTGGGGAGGGGCAAGTTGTGTAGATAGCCCATTTATGGTGTATTTTATAATTTTCACTTTAAATTAAATAGAAATAAATGCGGGATATGCTTGCTTGTACTCTTTGAAGATTTTTCTTATTTTAAATTTAATTGCCCCATTACGTACTCCCACGAGATCACGCCACACACTTACTGTCATGGGCAATAGAGCTACTTAGGATGATTTTTTTCAATGGAGATCATGAGATCCATTTTGGAATTAAGTATTTCATATCTTATGTTAGATTTTAAGTGGTCAGGGGTGGCAACGAGCTTGGCCCAAACCCAACCAGATCAGAAAACATCACACCCGGGCCCAGACCCAATTGGATCCAAATGGACCCGACCCAAAATAATAAATACATATATTTAAATATTATGTAATATATATGTATTATTTAAATGTTATAACCGAAAATATATTAGAGCAAAATGGATAACATATGGCGGACTCCAATTAATTGGAAAAAAACTAAAATAATGATGACAATGAAATAAAAATATATAATTAAATTTATTTAAATATTATTTAAGATTTATATATTAAATATTATTTATAAAAGGGGAAATTTTATATGGAGCCTAGGCTCTAAACAATCAAATTAGAGCCTAGCTCACAAATTTAATTAAAAGAGAGTGTTTTGATGCTCAAATATCATTAAATTGAACATCCTGACATCAAGATGCATGGAAATGATACAAGGTGCAATTGGCATACAAATGCATCCGTAGCTATAGAGGTAAGGTGCACCTTCAAATTTTATCATGGTATATAAATTTGATGTAAAATGTTATTAAGATTATCTCGAAATCTATTTTTATATTTAATTATAAAAATTTAAGTTAAAAATTATTAAAATCAATTAGATCTATAAACATATGAAAATCTTGAAAATGGACGGTGTAGATAAAATGTTGTAAAAATACACTATTTTCAAGACTTAAAATCTTTTTATTTTTCGTAGTCATACATCTCGATGTCGAGATGATCAATTAAAGGGTTTTTCGACATTAAAACTACCTTTTATGATGGATTTTTGAGGTGCAACTGTAGTTCTACATTATAAGGTTGCATCCTTATATAAACTTTTTCCCATGAGAAAAAAATGGATTCAAATTTTGAAAATAGTGCATATTGTAATGCATTTTTGGATCATCAATTTTAAAGATTTTCAAATTTTCACATATATGCTTAATCTACACTTTTTTTAAGTTTAAAATTTTATAACTAAATATGAAAATATAATTTAAGGCTATCACAAAACTTTTCAGCATTGAAACCATATTTCTCGGCACTATTTGAAGGTGGGCTCCAATTTGATTGTTTAGAGCCTCCGCTCTATATAAACCGCACCCACTCTATATAAACCGCACCCATTATATAATAAAACTATTTGGAGTCTGGTCAGCATGGACCCAAATAGTGTGGACCTAAACCAACGGGTCCAATTATTGGACCCATACATGGACCTATGTCGGGTCCGAACGTTGGGTCTCTGGTCGGGTCCAGGTCCGCTTCCCATGATGGGGTCCTAAAAATAATCTCAATCGGGTTTTACCTGATGGACTCAATAGACAATGTGAACCCATGGGATCTCACGACATTTGGGCCCTGAAATGAAATTTTATTTTATATTCGCAAAAATAAAATTCTGATAATTAAAATTGAAGCATCGCTCGTATCCGAGGCTTAAGGAGGACGATTCCCGCCCCCGCCCAATTTTTCCAGAATTAAAAATAGTAACTAAAAAAACCAGGAATTACAAGTGTGTAACTCCATACGCTCCTCCTGCTTTTAAAATACATTTGGGTAAAAAGTAGAGAGAGAAAGAGAGGAAGTAGAGAGAGAGGGACTGACCGACTGAGAAAGTAGAGAGAGAGGGGTTGTGAACTGTGTTTCAGGGAGAGAAAGCGATAGAGGGAAAGAACGAGACCTGTTCCGTTTGCTTGAAATTTCTGGATCGAAAACCGGCTTGAAGCTGTTTTCTCAACTCGGTGTTCGCTGTACCCTAGCTCTGCAGATGTGAGCTTCTCTGTCTGTTTGTTATTCTTTTTCTCTTATCATTTTTAAGCTCCCTTCTCTCCCCCCCTGGCTCTCTCTCTCTCTTCATGTCCTCCTCTCTCTCTATCTGTCTATCTCTGTCACTTTAAGCTCACTTCCTCGCACTTGTTGCTTGCTCCACTCTGTCTCTCTCTCTCTTGTTTCCCGTCTGTCATGAATTTCTTATCTACCCATCTCTCACCTTCTCTCCTTTTCTCTAATTTTCTATGAAACGCACGCGCACACTCTCTCTCCTCTCCTATCTATCTTTCCCTTCATTTTTCTTTATTTTTACCTTAATTGCTTTCTCATTCCGCCCCCTTTTTCTCTCTCTCTCTCTCCATTTGATGCCTATCCTGGCAATTTTCAGGATCTTCCTCTCCATGTAAATTCTCTTGTCCCATCTTACTTCAAGACCTCCAGATTCTCTTGCTTTTTAAGTTCGGGAACATGGTTTCCATTGAATGTGATTTGAATTCCATATGATTGGGAATTCTTAACTTCATGGTTTTGTGTCGCGATTCATGGATCATAGAGCACGAAACCTGCTTTAGAGATCACCTTAAAGGTGCAAAACCACATGTAAACATCCTCTTTAGGTTCATATACAACTTTCAGGGTTTCAGTATCGATGTGTCCATTTACTCAGTATTTTTGGTAATATATATCTGGACTCTGGAGAGTGGTTTAAGCTCCCCATTTTGTGTCGCATTGTGAAACTATGCTTTGAAGAATCAGGGTACTCAGTGGTGTTTAACAGCCATGTGCTACTGGATGGTCTTTTCATTTGTTGCAACTGCATACTTTGTGTTACCAACTTAACATCATATGTTTGACATGGGTTATGGGTGACTGCTTGTTCATATGACTGCGGTTTTATTGTTGAATAATGAATAGTACTGGGTGGCATCTCTCTGTCTATTTAGATTTAAAGATTGACCAACTTGGTGATATTGAACTTCACATTACTAAAAATATATTGTGTTTGAGTAGAATCCTATGTCTTTCACTTCTCTATTGCTTGTCAAATGAGTATAACCGCATGTATTCTCCATTTGAATTGCTTCTTAGGTGTTTACATTGAATTTAAGTGTATTTATTATCAATGGAGTAGTTTTAGATTTTTTTTTTTTTTAAATATTTTGTAGGTTATTGCACATAGTTGCGTCTAAGGCATCTTTTATGTACTCATGTCTTGATTTGTAGTTAATATGTTCTTAAGCCTCGTCTTATCACTGTCTAAATAATTTAATTGAAAAGGAAGTATTTGTTCTATTTTTTATTGTAGAGATGATACCAGTCCAGCTTTTATATATTGCTATTACTGAGTCAGTGTTTCAAAAAGCACTACGCGGCACCTAGGCAGTTAGGGGGGTCTAGGCCGCCCAGTGCCTTGGCGGACGCCCAGAACCTGGGAGGCCTAGTAGAATTTTTTTTTTGGGGTTTCTCTCTCTAAAATAGGCTTCAATGATTTTTAGGTTTCAAATGAACCTAAATCCCACAATTTTACCCCTTTAGTATTACAAAATGACTCAAAATACCCTCAATGAGGGGCATTTCCACCCCTGGGCGGGGCGGGCGCCTAGGCGGGTTCCCGGGTGCCTAGGTGGGCGCATAGGGATAAGCCTGGGCGATGCGCCCAGGCCTTCTGGACCAGGCGTTGGGCGGTCCACTTTTTAAAACACCGTACTGAGTTTGTATTCAAATTGGATTGGAGCTGCAAGTTGAATGATTTCTATCTACACTATTAATATTTATCTGAAACTGATGATTCCTCATGAGAAAATTGAAAACTAACTCCCTAATTTTTTTCTCTAGTCAGAACTGATTCTTATGGATCACCCTTCAATATTTTTCGCGACATGTATTATCATGAAAGAATGATTAGGAGAACTTCCATGACCTATTCAAATTCATAGAAATGTACCACAATCATTAGAATTGAAATAGAATTATTTGAACTATATTGGCATCTTGGTTTCCCTTACATGGGGATTCCTAATAGCTATTGTGATATCTGGTGTTTGAGAGAGTAATGGTAGAATAATAGCTAGAGGGGTTAGATTCTTTAGAATTATATAAAAGCGGCTATATCGGATCTGTCTGTTAATTATGCCTCACTTTGTAGAATGCATGCATCAGTGTGAGGTCCATTATCAAAAAAAAAAAAAAGGTTAAAGTGGCTGTGAATTTAAAAGGAACTCTTCATGGAGTGGGAGTAGCTATGAAAGAGAATTACATGTGATCCAAGAAACTCTTGAAGTTTTCAGTATCCAAGGTTTTAGAAGAATCAACTGTGCTATCTTATTGAATGGCTTTGGCTCCTTGAGAGTGTGGACTGTGGTTTGAATAGAACACGATCTGAAGTATGTGAAGGTGTTTAGAGGTCCAAAATTAAAAGTAGAAAGAATCATGTGAATCATTAATTTGCAAGAGTAATTATATGTTGATAAGAAACAACTGAAGAAACGTCTTAATTGCAAATCAAAACTTAAGTTCATTGAAGTTCCCTTGACGTCATTATGCATAAAAACTGGATTTACAAACTACTAAAAAGTGAAATGAAATCTATGAATATGCTGTGTATAATAAGTATTGACAAGCAATGAACATGTGAAAACATGGGTATCTACTCATATACAGAGTATTTTGATTATTTGGAGGTCAATTTTACCAAGTCGATCAGAAATTAAATGTAAACAAACAACACACATGATCACACAACTACCCAATACTATTCACTGCTCAATTTTGCAGCCACATAAAATGAATCAGCACTCATATAACCATTTATAGAGCACAGAGTGTAACATGAAGTATGATTTCACCAAAAACTAAGCCCAAAAAAAATAAAAAAAATTGTAGAATAGTAGAAGGCTTATGAACATCACTGATTGTAATTTTTCTAAACAAAATTGGGCAGTGCAACATAAAACGGGGAATGTAAACCACTTAAGGACTCTAGAAATTGTAAAGATATATTTGGGTAAATGAGCACATGAGATGCAGTGAGAGGAAGGACATGGAAATTGCTACGATAGAAGGCAAATGAACAGAGATTTGAGAGAGGGAGGGGGGGGGGGGGGAACAGGGGGATATATAGAGAAAAAGTGACAGCAAGACAGAGAGAGAGAGAGATTATGGGAAGGGGTTTAGATTTATGCAGTTTCTTTTTCTGTAGTCAGAAGTATATTGGAGGAAGGGTTTGGGTTTTTTTTTTTTTTTTGGGGGGGGGGGGTGGAGGGTGGCGTTGAATTTTTTTTCTTGTCCTGCTTTAACATAAAATCTTAGCTCAAGATTGTACCTTTAAGCATCGTTCAGGAATACCATATCTACTTAGAAATGTTATTTATTTGTGTTTCTTATATGATGCATTTGGTGAATATGAGGAGAGTATCTGTGAATAGTCTAGGGGGCTTAATTTTTCTAGGCATACAAGTTGTAGTTAAAACCTTAGACATCATGTTCAGGCCCTTATTCTATGACCACTAAGCCAAGAGGCTGAACCTCTCATACTGACTAATGAAGCTCCAAAGTCCAGCGTTTGAGTTCACAAGGCATTTACTGCTCTATGAATGTAGCAAACATGACTGACCTGTAGAACCTGTGACTAGGTTTGAAATTTTAATTTTGGTTTTAGTTTTTCCTAATGCAAACCTGAATTTTGGTCAAGATCTTAATTTAAATAGTTTTTTGTCAGCTAATGAAATACAAAAGTGAACCAAAAATCAACCTTTCCAATATCACAATGCATAGTGCGTGAAACAGGGTGGAATCCCATCAAAATGGCCACAATTCTAGCTGAGTTTTGCTCATTTTGGTCACAATTGTAACGATTTCTCAAAAGTGCTATTGTTTTCATAATTTTAACCTTTTGTTAATCCTTCTGGAATCAGATTAGAGGGTGCTGGATGATTTTTGGTGGTATCTTTGCTGTTACACTGTGCAATTGTTTTGGCTATGGAGCAGAACTGAATTTCAGCTGGAATTGGAAGACAAAATCTTACTTGTAAATTTTAATCAATCATATGTAAATCGAAGGAGGAAAAGGCAATGGAAAAAGAAACAGAAGAAAAAGTGTCATTCTCTATGGTCTCACTTATTTATGGCGATGGGCCACGGGTCATTAATAATACTTATTTCAGTTGAGCACCTGCTTTATTCTGTCAACTTCATCAGCTAACATTGGTCACCCATTTTCTTCCTTTGCCCCAGAGAGAAGATAATTATCTAATATCATCAGTTGCACCTGGACTTTACTCTCTTCCCCAGCGATGTACATAAAACAGGTATTTACATCCATTGAATTTCATTATTTCATTTCATGATCAGAATAATTTTGTCTGTCTTGTGAACCCCTTATCAGGTAATCATCGAAGGATTTAAAAGTTACAAGGAACAGGTTGCCACAGAGCCGTTCAGTCCAAAGGTTAATTGTGTTGGTAATACTTTCTAAACTTTTGATTGAGGAGTTGCAAATGACCTTTTGTTGTTCCAATCCAAATAATACCCTTGTAATTTACTGGTTTCAGCATTTGCTAAATGTGTATGTTCCAATGTATAATGAAACTAACTTTTATGTCCTTTAGATGTTCTTCTTAGTCATGTTTTCGCCACATATTATGATTTTTCCAATAAAGTTAGGAAAGTGTTTGGTGCTGTTCCCGAACTGGTCAATCATTCAATGCTTCACTAGAGCTTCGTTACAAGATTATTGGGCGATCATTTTCTGTAATATAACTAATATTGTTGTTTTATTATTTCATTGTTTACGTGATTAATGGTTTGTTTTTCTATTATAGTTGGTGCTGACGGATGTAATACTCCTATTATTGGCCTCTTTTTGTTTCATTCTTTTGTTGTTTGCTTGATTCGTGTCTTGTGTTTATTATGCAGTTGGTGCTAATGGATCTGGCAAAACAAACTTTTTTCATGGTAAGAAAGTTATTGGCATTAGGATTCATCATGGTTTGCAGTTTGTGTACACTAGGGATTGGTAACAATAGATATCTGTTTGTATGTCTGAATTCGTAATGGTGATTCATTTTCATTTATTGATTCAGTTTGTATTCTGATTTGTGATCTCTGATACACGTACAGCAATACGATTTGTCCTTAGTGACCTCTTCCATAACTTGCGAACTGAAGATAGACATGCACTGCTTCATGTATGTTTCCTTTCTCTGTCAGTTGTGTTTTACTGCCAGAATATCTTCTTATGGGTTCTGTGCCTTGATTAGCATGTTGTTTATTAATGGAACAGGAAGGTGCAGGTCACCAAGTTATGTCTGCATTCGTGGAGATAGTTATCGATAATTCTGACAATCGCATCCCAGTAAGTCTTTGGTTTTGCGTCTTTCTTCTGTCTTTTACAAGGTTATCTTACACTGATATACTATTTGTAATGGCAATAATTGATCTTTAGTAAGCTGTGCTTGGTAGAATATATTTGAAATGCACCAAACTCATACACTTCTGTAATTGATAAATTTTGTGTTTTAGAAAATTTCCAAAATTAAGCATATGGTGCAAATCAGTGTTTTAAAACCCAGTGTCCCGGATCTGGAATTGGCTTAGATCAAACCGGTTCAGGAAGGTATCCATGCCCGAATCCCCCCCCCCCCAACACACACACAAAAAAAAAAGAAAAAGAAAAAGAAATCCCGGTTTTCTTTTATTTTCTAATATTTTTCTGGATTGCCAATTTGGACTAATCCATATTGGCGATTCAACATGGATCTGTGGGGTGTGCTAGCCACCACATGTATCTGGGTTTTGAAACTATGGTTCAAATTTTGTCTACTTCCGGTTGAGCTAAACGAATGTGGACATGTCAGTAAATACAAGATTTTTTTTTTACTGCACTGCGAATGTTGGCAAGTAATGAGCTATGGCTAACAATGATAAAAAGAAGCTAGTGATGATGAATTGTTTTTAGTGAGTTTTTGGAATAAGAAAAGAATCATTTTTTGATTGTCCATTGTCGGAACTCTGGAACATTTGCGTATCCAATGTCTCTTGTGGGATCTCACTGATCTACTTAAGTAGAAGTATTTCTTTCTACAGATGACTATATTGTGATTTGTGGTTATCTATGTCATAGGTTGACAAGGAAGAGGTGCACTTGCGGAGAACAATTGGCCTGAAAAAAGATGAATACTTCCTGGATAAAAAGCATATTACGTAAGTTATATTTTCTCTAGTTTACTTCTGATTTGCTTTCTCACTTCTTATCTTATATATATGTGGAGTTATATGCAGGAAAACAGAAGTCATGAATCTCCTGGAAAGTGCTGGTTTTTCTCGTTCTAACCCATACTATGTTGTACAACAGGGAAAGGTACCTCTTTTGTGATATTTTCGAATTTTGAAAATTCACTTGTATTTGAAATGCTATTATTGCCATTCTTTTGTGAAAGTAATAGGACAAATTGAACTTTATATCCAGATTGCTTCATTGACATTAATGAAAGATTCAGAAAGGCTGGATCTCTTGAAGGAAATTGGTGGTACTCGGGTTTATGAGGAGCGTCGTCGAGAGAGTATGAAAATAATGCAAGAAACAAGTGAGTTCTTGCTCTCTATAAAACCTCTTCGATTCTTCACTACAATTTGTCCTTTGATATATGAAATCTTTTTTTCCTTAACACAGGTAATAAGCGGAAGCAAATAATTCAAGTTGTTCAGTATATAGAAGAGAGATTGAAAGAGTTGGATGAAGAGAAAGAGGAGTTAAAACAATACCAACAGCTTGACAAGCAGCGAAGATCCCTTGAATATGCCATTTTTGACAAGGAACTCCATGACGCTAGGCAGAAAATAGTGGAGGTTGGTATCTTCGTCATTTGAACTAAAAATTTGGCAGGGTGGTGCAATTTTTAGGCTTTCATTTAGTTCGTCATTCTCTTTTAGCAGTTGCATTCTGGTTCTTCATTATTCTTCCTGCTTCATGGGCCTTGCGCTTAGTAGAACACCGGTGTGGCACGTAGGCGTCCTCAAACCAGAAGCATGGAGGTGTATTCATCGAGATCCCCTGGCTTGGTCTTGACTGCCCCATTTCTTTTTCACCAACCTTACTTCTAATGGAGTCTTCACTTTTGCACTGAATTGAAACAGTAATTCCTCAGCCATTTTGTTTATGTCATAGATCTCACCATTAACAATGAATCCTAATTCTTCAGCATTAATTATTAACAGAGACCTTACCATTGATGCCAACTGAAACCCTAGTTCTTCAGATTTAGAATTTCTCACAGACCAATGTTGATTTGGGACCTGGTAGGTATCACAGCAATCTCACCATTAACAACCCTAATTCATCAGCCATAGCAAAGATCTCACCATTAACAGAAACTGATTGGTGAGTCCTCCCCATTCACACCTAATCAACAACCTAAATTTTGCAGCTGTAGCACAGACCTAGTCATTAGAACCAAATCATAGACTGGTGCTTGGGCATGAGGTGCCAGGTACTCGCTAGGCCATCTGCCTCAGGCTGTACATTATTTATCTCTTTCCAGGAATGCGTTCTGTGAAACTGTATAAATTCAAATTTTGCGTGCTATCCCAAAATAAAAATATGTCCTTGTACACTAAAACCAGTATCTAGAAAGTCATTGGCCTGAAATCGTCCCTTTTTGCTATAGTGAAAGGGGCGATTTTAATTGGTTAAAACAGGGAATAAACTGATTTTTGGAAAATTGAGTGATTTCTTGTCTTTATTATTAACTCACTTTTACCCCCTTTAATGCTCCATTCGCCGTTTTGATCTGTTCTCCCTCATTTTTGATCGTTTCTCTTCAAACAATACCTAAGGGGTGTCTGATAAATGGGAGTTTCTGGAAGTGGGAGTTAAATGTCCCACTTCCATGTTTGATATTATTGTGCGGAAGCTGTAAAGTGGAAGGGCAGCCTTCCACGCAGCTATTTTTTAGTGTTAAAATGGGTTCATTTTTGGAAAACCTCCCTTTCATAAAAAATGATGGAAGAGCAGTCTTTCATAATTTTCTTCCTTTGGATCAAAGCCCAATTTGCAATCAAAAGTTCAAATTTGGGGTACTTTCATGCCTTTATTTTATTTTATTTTAATTTTATGTTTGACCCAGTTGCTTTTACTCCGGAGATTGAAGGTCCAAAGTTCAAATTTATTGCCCAAAAAAAGAAAAATTCAGACCTTGATTGTCCTAAGTTTACCTTCAAGAAGAAACTTCAGATCTTAAAGGTCTAAAGTTTCGAAAATCAAACTTAACTAATAACTTGTTTCTGAAGGTAAACTTTAGACCTTTTTTCGTTTTATTTTTAAGTTTTTTTATATTTTTTTGGGACAAGTTAAGCTTCGTACCTTCAAAGTCCATGGTTTGTTTTTGGCTTAATTTTTTCGAGAATAAAATAAATTTCGGACTTCAAGGTCCAAAGTAGGGGCAATTTTGTCAAAAATAAAAAATGTGGGGGAATTGTTTAAAATAAATATAAAATAAAAAAGGGTATGTTTATAAAAATGGAAATTCGAATGGGCTGTACAGAAATTATGGGGGATGTGCTCTTAAATCTCGTTCCTTTTCAAGTCTTGATTAAAAAAGAGCTAGTGCTTGTTCTTGAAATTGTTTTTTGATTTAATAGCTTTTTTTTGCCCCAATTTAATCTTTCTCTTTTTGCCCCTATTTAATCTTTTTTTTTTGCCCTGATTTAAATGATTTATTGTTTGAAACCATGATCTTTCCTTCCTTTTTTTTTTTTGATTTTTCTATATTTTCCTCCAAATCATTCCGAATCAGTTGATTCGGTTTGGAATTGCTGATTCGATTCGTGTTTTCAGTGGGTCTGAGTCGGACATGGGCCTGACTTTTGGGACATAGCTTAACACAATTAAAACAATCATGTTTTCCTGCAGATAATTTATTTGTATTTTGAGTTGATTTGGCCAACCTCATTTTCCCCCATTGCAGGTGGAAGAGGCTCGGACTAAGGTTTCTGAAAATTCAACAAACATGTACAATAGAGTACTGGAATCTCATGAACGCATCAAATTATTGGAGAAAGAATTTAAAGTTTTAATAAGAGAAGCTCAAGCTTTGAAAAATGAGAAAGCCACAGTTGAGAATCAACATACTGAAGCACTCAAGATGCATGCGCAAATTGAACTTGATGTCAAAGATTTGGAAGAAAAAATTGGTGGGGATAATAGGATGAAGGTATGTTTTGATTTAGTTTGGTTGTATTTGTATATGAGATTTCAAAACCACTATTTGTCTTTCAAATAAATGATGGATGCAAACTTATGGCTCCTTTAGCAAGAGGCTGAGCGGGCTTTGAAGGGTTTGGAGGAAGAAATTCAGAACTCAAGGATGGAACTGGAAGAGATCAGACCTTTACATGAGAAGCAAGTGATGGAAGAAGAAAAGATAAAAAAAGGGTTAGGTTTAGTCATAGTTTTATGTGTTTAGCAGCCTTATGTTCATTGTTTATGTGTTGAAAACTCATGTTATGAATATCTATTGGGTTCCTTTCTCATTTTATCTCTTTGGGGTTGTAGAATAATGGACCGTGAAAAGCAGCTCAGTATTTTGTACCAAAAGCAGGGTCGCGCAACTCAGTTTTCAAGCAAGGCCTCTAGAGACAAATGGCTTCAGAAAGAAATTGATGACCTTCAGCGTGTACTCAGATCTAATACTGGTCAGGTATATGTGAGATTTTCTTTCTCCATATAACTTCTGCACACACACACGCTGTGTCTGTGCGCGTGCATGGGTGCGTGTGTGTCTGTGAGTCTATTTTGGTGGAGTGAAACTTCCCTTCTGGCACAGCTTGTTCAAGTGGACTCTTTTATTGGTGCCATCTATCTCATCGAAAACCATTAATGCTAAACAGTATTATCCTTGAAACTTATGTGTGTTGATTTGGGTAGATATTAGCTTTTGTTTAGATACTTTGTCAAATTATTTAAGGGAGATTTATCAAATGATCCCTAAAAGTTGAACTATTTAATATTTCACCACTGGTGATATCTGATAAATTTCAAAACCCATAATGGTGTGCAATTTGATGGCTGATCAAATGAATGATGGGCTATTTGAAATTAGATCCCAAGAGATGAGTGATGTTAAATACTTCAACTTTTAGGTATGATTTGATAAATTTCCTATGATTTAACCATTGAATGCCCTGGACAAATTTGAAATGTAGCTTAAGGAAACGATATAAGCGTTGCTGTTAGTTCTCTGACTACTTTACTTTTATCTGGACACTTCAAGCTTTTCTTGTTATTTTACTGCTTGGCTTTGTTTTTTGTTTCTGAACGGTTATTCTTTAATTGTCATTACATGGCATATAGTCCTAGAAACTTCGTACAGGTAATATGTGTTGGTGTGCAGTTTCCATGCAAGAAAGTGTGCCCATTTTCTCTATTTTTGAAGCTTTATAACATTTTTAAATGAGTTTGAGAATCATCATGATTGCATAGCTAGATGTGGGATATTTTTCTCCACCTTTCTTTAAATTCACATGTTCCTACCATTTTGAAAGTTGACAATAGTTGCCTTGTCATTGAGAGAAGTCATGTTCGTATATGCACTGATACATGGCTAATGCTTTTATGCTTCTGTTAACTAAATGAGGCCTCAACTTTTTTCCTGTCTAAGGGTTTAGTATGGCCCTTGCAAGGATGGCATGCAAATCAGGAAAATTTCTATTTTTTACATTTGTCCTTGGTGAGACTTCTAATGTCATATTTGATATATTATACTCTGATTTCTCAGATGAGTGCTTTTCTCATTATCACATTTTTTTTTACATAATGCGTCTGTGTTTCTTTAAAGATAGATCATGGAATTTTTAGGACCTTTTTTTGGCATTGAATGTTATCCTGGATGCTCATATAGATTAATATCTGTTGTCAGGAGGACAATCTGCAAAAGGAAATCGAACAACTCAATAAAAAGATAGAAGAACTGGATAGAACTGCGAAGGAGCGTTCGGCTGACTTGGAACAGCAAGAAGCTCTCATTTCTGACTCCCTCAAAGAATATGATGGTTTCAAGACAGAAAGGGACAAATTACAAGATGCTCGAAAGTATGGTGCTGTGATTTTTTTTTATTGCTTTCCATTCTTTTGCACTTGTTTTTCACTGGTGAAAGAATCACTTCTAGAGTTGTCGTACTCTAATTTATACAATTAATTGTTGTAGGCTTCTTTGGAAGAAGGAAAGTGACCTAGCTGCTGAAATTGATAAATTAAAAGCTGAAGTTGTGAAGGCAGAAAAGAGTCTTGATCATGCTGCTCCTGGGGTGACTGCTCGACATTTTTTCTTATCTTTGTTTATATAGTAAATACTGTTATTTGCTGAAATTTTGAGGAATGTTTCCTACTATATTTTCTTGACAAGAGAATTCCCCTAAAATAATGAATAATTCCAAGTGAATAATGTATTACATCCTTTTACATGCTTCATATATGCGTGCTATGTAGTCTATTCCGCATTTGCCCAAATTTAGGAAATAGTAATTCAATATAAACAGAATTCAGGTGCAATGCTAGTAATATCGACCGATCAAATTTGAGCAATCTTTTATTCTGATGCATATGATGAGTGAAAATATATAAACATCAAGTATTTATTGCTAATTCTTTGTAAATATAAGCAATGAGTTTGTGCCATTTGGCTTAGATTTACTGAAGCATCACTTTTTAGCATTCAGGATATCAGAAGGGGACTCAACTCTGTTCGAAGAATCTGTCAGACTCATAATATCTCTGGAGTATTTGGTCCAATTTTTGAGTTGCTAGATTGTGATGAAAAATTCTTTACTGCAGTAGAAGTTACTGCAGGAAACAGGTGTGTAACTGCAATTTTTTGGTATTCTTGTGTGTAAAGTTTTTTAATTCATATTTAAAGCCAAACATATGTTGTTGTACAGCTTATTTCATGTGGTCGTTGAAACGGATGAGATATCAACCAGAATAATCCGGTACCTAAGTGCTGAAAAAGGTGGCCGGGTTACTTTTATTCCTCTAAACCGTGTGAGGGCTCCACACGTAACAATCCCTAAGAGTTCTGAAGTGATACCACTGTTAGACAGGATGAAATACTCTGACCGTTTTAAACCAGCTTTTAAACAGGTTAGATGAATTATGAAGGAATCTTCTTAATTCAACTTATCTTTCAATCTACTGCTGTTTGTGCAAATTCCATACTGAACTTCTAGCTAGTGCAATATGCTCATTGTAATGCATGCATCTGTGAGTATAGTGAAGTATTTTATGTAGCGTAAATATATTCTAGATGCAAGTTTTTTAATGTTAACACGCATACCTGTACACGCATAAACACAAATTTATACCAAATATTCACTGAATGAGGGTCTTACTCAACATCTAGTCCCATGCGAGTGGCAATCTGCTGCATATGGCAGGCCAACATACGATGGTATAGGGGTCGTTCATTTAGGTGTGTATTGGATAAGGAGAGAGGCATTTGCATACAGTGGAATATGTCTTTGTTGATTTCATTGGTTTTACCAAATGGGTTTTAGGAGGCTTAAGTGGATTCCTGGAAAATGTGGCAGTGTTATCAAAGGCGCGCTGTGGACTCGAGGCGCTATGCGGCTTGATGCGCGTATCATCTCCTATGTAGTTAATAAATATAAAAAGTTCATTAAAAAATATGAGAATGTAAAGAATAACATGATATGTGGTTTATGTGATAATAGATTTTTTAACATAGTATCCAGGTCACTGATTGCTTAATAGCTTGATAAGAAGTAACAGAATTTGCTTGTAGCTGAGGCTCGCCATCATCACAAAACCAGTGTTACATAGACACCGGCACTTATCTAGTACATGCCTTGGGTGTCTAGTACTTCAGACCAAAAATCCAATACGGCACCAACATGGTCTGTTTTGTTGATTTTGATTAAAAAAAATTGATTTACAATGTTAATGTTGTAATCCCCTGAGAACCATGAAAAAGAATTGTGCTGAGTTTTCTTTCTTTTTGGGTTGTGGGTTTTTTTTTTCTTTTTTGGGGTGGGGGGGGAACGACTCAAATGTCTTTTCTTGTGGGCTTGTTTCCACCTATAAGCAGCCACCCTAATATGCAGGTTCATAGCACATTTTGTGATGTGCCCATTGTGCAGGCGCATGGTTAAATCCTGCATATGTGGTATCCCATTGGTTGCATCCATAGTTGTTGGGATCGGGAGTGAGAACAGTACTGGGATTGGGATCAGGATCGGGATCGGGAGCGAGGGATTGTGAAATGTTACAAGATCCCTATGGTTGGGAACGTCGTCCGTACAATGCACATGTTAGGGATCGAGATTCCCAAATGTTAGGGATCGAGATTCCAACCTTTTGGAATCTTGATCCCAACTTTTTGGGGATCTTATTACACCCTAAAGTATATGATAATCTAGGATTATGTATACTCTTTAAAGTAGGGATATTATTATTGATAGCAAGCAAGCAATAGTTGTGTTGCTAGTTGGTTATAAACAAAGAAAATCATCAGTTTGATTGTTGTCTTGGTCTTTAAGGTTGGGATCGAGATCTCTACCAGCAGGAATCAGGATCCCAATGAGTGGGGTTCGAGATCCGAAAATTTAAAAATCGTGATCCTTGAGAGATCCGTTTTGGGAGCGATAGAATCGAGATCCTAGAAGGGATCGCTTACCAAAGGTGGAGATCCCGGTAACTATGGTTGCATCTGCCTCGATGCGGCTGCATTTGATAACTATGAAAATGCCTTTGTATTTCATTATGAATTTGAGTATGACAATTGAACCTTTAGAAGAGATTGACATTATAATGAAAGTCATAGGTGATGCTCCATTTTTGTCTCCCTTTTTTAAGGTACTCAAGAATTTGACTTTTGGTCAAAACCTGCTCTGGCCCTAGCCCTGGCTGTACCAGATTGGGCTGAGAAGGTTCTAACCCAAGCCTGACCCGAGCACAGTTTGGACTATACAGGGCCTAATAGACCCAAAGAAAAAAAAAGGAAAAAAGGGCAGGCCTGCGACAGCCATGTCGTGTCCTTGGCTGAGGCCCGGCCTGGCCCTTAGGCCATGGTAAATCAGACTGCCCTTGGAGGCCCTAGTGTTTTAGGACCGGGCTGCCCAGCCCATTGCCAACGCTTTGTATGTAGTAGGAAATTCTAAAAAATGAAAGCTGAACCTTTGGAAGTTGCTAGCTCTATAAAACTACCGATCTTAACTTTTTGTGCCTCCTCTCTTTTCAAAGGTGCTTGTGATTTGACGTCTGGCTAATTCTACAATCACAGGTGTTTGGTCGGACAGTAGTTTGTCGAGATTTGGATGTGGCAACGAAGACTGCTAAGACACATGGTTTAGACTGCATCACTTTGGAAGGTTTGGACTCATGCATATTTTACGGTTTTGTGGCTCACATTTTGAAGCATTCACCTACTTAAAGAATCTTTAATTAGGTGACCAAGTAAGCAAGAAAGGGGCCATGACTGGTGGCTTTTATGATTATAGACGTTCCAAACTAAAGTTAATGAGCATCATTCGGCAAAATACGAAGTCTGTTAATGAGAAGCAAGAGGAATTAGAGAGAGTCAGAAATTCTCTTCAAGATATCCTTTATTATTTATAGTTTGGGATTACATGTCTATTATCAGTACTTTCCAACTTGTTTGCCTTGTCTTTGAGTATATTTTGGAATTTGTTTGCTTAGTGGCAGCTTTTTAGATATGTATGAGGAAAACATACTGTGTAAGTTGTGTCAAACTCTTATGCTGGTTAAAGAGGTTAATACTTGATACTGGTTCAAGATTTAAGATGTAAGCTTGTCTGTATTATATTCTTCATTAGAGATTGGGCTAGTGTAACTGTTAGTGTTTGTTTCAGAGTTCGTGTGTTTCATTCTGCTTTTCTACAAGGCTCTATGAGCTTCTTGGACTTCCCTCTTCTTATGGGTTGTATGGATGTATAATCTTAAAGGTGTGACATTCACACGTGTATATACTGGAGTACACACATAATAGATGCATGCACAGACTTGAAGGCATAAGCACAGGTACACACGCCCTAATTTGTAGATACATTTGCATATTCAGGCTGGCCTTAGTGATTTTATACTGGTGACCACTGCGAACATTTCTACATTTACATTCTAATGGTTGATTTAAGCACGTGTCAGGCCTTGCGTCCCAAAATGTTGACATAGTCCCCACTGGATTCCAAATATTTGCATTACCCTTTAATGAAGTGTTTGCCTGAGGGTTTTGAGCATCAGTCTGACTCATGCTCAACAATATTTTGTCTGCAATTTGACCAAAATCTTGCACCTTGCAAGATAAAGGTGTGTTCCTCGGGGTTCAATCCCCCATCTGTAGTGTCTAGTGTTTGACTAATCGGGTGAGTCTGCTTCCGAGTTACCCATGCTCACCAAGGTGGCGAGCCCGAGTATCACCGAGTTGGGTGTCCAACTCAGGGATCTTACTTTAAACATATATTTCCTATATTGTTAATTTTTTTGGAACTTTATCTTTTTTAACAGATTTTTTACCTAGCCAGTACCTGCCCAGCTCGGGCCGGTTCCAAGTTAGCCGGACCTGGCCCATGGCCAGTTTCAGCAGCCGGTTCATGCAATCGAACACTGGTAATGTCTACTTCTCGAGCTGCAAGCAATGTGCCTCAACTGCAACAAGACCTTCTGCCTGCGTTGAATTGCTACCAATGTTAATATCCAAAGCAACTATCCCTACCGTCGATTTCATTGGAGCTGAGACCACATCAATCTCATAACAAAGTGCTCATTATCATACTTCGACACTAACCCATCTTACAAATTATCTGCTGCTTCACTAACCCTGCATCGCCCCTCTACCTTCTATGCCTTGGTCATAACCTTGAGTTCCTTTGTAAAAAATGAAGCCACATTAACCTGATAAGGAGATGGATACAGTAAAGTGCATAGTGGGAGTCTTTGTATCATCATCCCTCTACATGCATTATGCTGTAAAATGACATTATGAGTTACTTTTTCACCAATTGAGAATTTGCTCTCTGTGCATTTGTGCACGTTTGGAATGTAAACAAATTAGATGCTTTGTCACATCCTTCACTTGGTGGCCAAAACTAATGGATCATTTCTAGTTCTGCCAAACTGAGCTATGGTCCCTTAACTATCCATACAGAAAGACCAGGAAATCACTAAGATTGTTAGTGAACAACAGAAATTCGATGCTAAAAGAAACCATCAGAGGTCAGAAATTGAGCAACTGAAACAGGATATTTCTAATGCCACGAAGGAGAAGCTGGCTTATTCTAAATCTCTTGAAAATAAGGTATTTATCATTTATGTCCTCCCCCATTCATAGGACTGCTTCTCTGGATTTTTCCTGGTGAGCACTAATTTTAACTGGTTTATCTTGATGGCATGCTTTCATGTGTTCAGAAAAAATTGCTTGGAAATGTTGGTAATCAAATCCATCAGATTAGAGTTGGCATAACCATGAAGCAAGATGAAATGGGAACGGATCTGATTGATCAATTGACACCAAAAGAGAGAGAGATGCTTTCTAGACTGAATCCAGAAATCACAGAATCCAAAGAAGATCTTATTGCCTGCAAAAGGAAGCGTATAGAGGTTTGTTTTTGAGCAATATATACCATGGCAGTTCCTCTGTTTTTGGAAATGTGAGCTACTGATTATTCTCTTCATTTTCAGATTGAAACTAGGAAAGGTGAGCTTGAAACAAATCTGTCGACCAATCTTGTAAGACGACAAAAAGAGTTGGAGGCCATCCTGCATTCAGCAGAATCAGAGGCTCTGTCTATGGAACTCAATCACAAAAAGAAAGAATTGGAACACGCTACAGAATCCATTGATAATGTAACCATGCTGCTTCAAAGTATGAGCTATTCTTGCTTAACTTTTTTCTTGCTATGAAGTTTCATTGTATATCTTGTTACTCATTGAAGGTCTCATCTGCAGGAACTGTAGGAGATCTGGAAAGCAAATCAAAAAAATTGAGGGATATCAGAAGCTCCATAGATGAACTAAAAGTAATTTTTCACCTGCCACAATTCAGCTGCCTGTTGTAGGACCATGAACATTGTTCTCATTGCTTTTTCTTACTGTGTATGTTTGGAACCTCTCAGGCTGTGGAAGATAAGTATGAGCGCACCCTACAGGATGAAAATAAAGAACTAGAACAATTATTGAATAAGAGGAATATTCTGCTGGCAAAACAAGAAGATTGTATGAAGAAAATTAGGGATTTGGGCTCACTGCCATCTGATGCATTTGAAAAGTATGTCCTTTTCTACTTGGCTATTTATGCAAAGTGTTATTTGGCATTTTATTCCAATGAAACAGTATTTTTATTCACTTACGATATTTGCATTTTATTTAGATATGACTTATATTCACTTGCTATATTTACGTTTGATTGTTCTTTGCACTTTATTGAAATACGGCTTTTGCTCTTCTGTGGCTTTTATGACGTGACATGGTTGTGCTGGGTCAATCCCCACTCTTTCATTCGTAACTCGTGACTTCATGGGAGACTCTCTTTCTCCTTATGCTCTAAAGTGCATGTTTGTAGCTAAGTTATTAGTGCAAGTGGGTTCGAGAGGGTCACGAGCAATCATATTTTCCTGAGTAACATGCTCTTTATCTCATGAACAACAAAAGTCAGCATTTTACTCTTATTTTTCCCTTATGGGGATGGCCTTCCACTGTATTGGTCCTTTTTCTATGATTTCTCAGGACAGTGATGAACGAAGGCTTGAATTAGTATCAGCACTGGCCCCGGGCTAGTCACATTAGCTGGTGTACACATTTGTCAGGATATAGATTATTCTTGTTGCCACAAAGCAACCCTTATTTTATTGGGCGGTTTCATCATTCGCACCTGCAAATGGTGGAGACCACTGGCCAAAGATGATTTACAATAATGTCCGAAGAACCTTGTCAAAAAACTTGATGTCTGTGTATTCCACAAATGGCCACACAGAAATCAATGTTTGGCGCTAGGATATTTATTTATTTGAGAGCATCTTTCCTTTTCCCTTTAATTTCTCTTGGGTTGTTAAGTCTGGCTTGTTTAATTAGAAGTAGATGTTTAATCTTTTAAAGGATATGTTATTCGAGGTAGAATCAATATCTGGAAATTTTTCATAGATGCATGCATGTTTGCCATCGATGACAGCAGAATCACATTCTTAAATGTGTATACGTATATGTCTTTCATGCTCTCCTTCCTAGGTTCTCTTGCTCCTGAATCTTACACTAACTGCTTTTACCAAAGCAAGCATCAAATTCCGGTTCCTGCTTGCTTAACTAAAAGTGGAATAAAATATTGCTTATTTAAAAACTTAACTGAATAAGAAAACAAGTATTGAAGATTGCGTCATCCCAAGCATATTTTTCCAGATTCTGTTCCAAATGATACTGGATTGAATCTCTTTTCTTTTTAGAGCTCCTTTAATATACCTTATGGGGAACGCTTTGCATTTAGCATTATTTATGGTTCAGAGCTAAGTATTACTAATGCTGTCATTTAGATGTTGGTCATATGAACCATATCTACATGAATCCATGTTCATAAATAATATTATGACATCATTTTACATGAGATGGCATACTTGTTAAGTTCATGGTGGTGCAGCCTGAGTCCTGAATATTTTCTTCTTGTCGTATAATCTTTAATAAATGACGCATTTTTGGGACACTTTGTGTTTGGGGTGATCATGAGTAGGTACAAGCGTAAAAGTATAAAAGAGTTGCATAAGATGCTACACAAGTGCAATGAGGATCTTAAGCGGTTTAGTCATGTCAACAAGAAAGCATTGGACCAATATATTAATTTCACTGAACAGAGAGAGGAGCTTCAGAAGAGGCAAGCTGAACTGGATGCAGGTGATGAGGTACACTTTTATTTTGTCATTCTTTTCTGAAGTCCCTAAAGTCCATTCCTAGTTTTGGGATTAGTGAGCAAGTATTTTCTTCAAGATGTAATTATGCCTGGTTACTTCAGAAAATCAAGGAGCTCATTACAGCATTGGATCAGCGTAAGGATGAATCTATTGAACGCACTTTCAAAGGTGTAGCCAAAAACTTCCGAGAAGCATTTTCGGAGCTTGTACAAGGTGGACACGGTTACTTGGTGATGATGAAGAAAAAAGTATGTGCTTCTATCTTAAGGTCTTTGGAGAGCAATTTTGTGATTTGTTTTCTCTTGTAGAGAAGTTTTTGTTTTTTCACTTCAAATATTCTCCTGGTATAATTTACCGCCCACTTCTCCACTTTGTTATGGTCTTATGGAACATGCTCAAGCTTAGCTGGATGTGCTCGAGCAGGTTTAACTTTATAGCTCGATCAATTTGATGTGTTTGTTGGCATATGAACTGCAATGCATCATTTGGATGAAACCTTGTTATTAATATTTCAGGACCAACCTGTTCATTGTATTAGAAAAACTGCGAGTGTTGTAACATGTAGTATTTTAGAATGTGATCAAAATTAAGAGAACTGGCTGAGATCAATCTATGAAATGAAACGTTTTGAGTATGAAATTTTTTTAAAAAGCTTTTTAAGTAGTAGGGTTACTAAGATATTTGGCGTTTTTATGAATTGAGCTGGTTTCTGGAGAAGCCTCTGAGCATATTTTCAATAAATAAAATCAATCTGCAATAGAAAATGTATCACTGTGGCTTACTTATGACTTATTTGTGTCGAATAGTAATTTATTATAATACCTAAAAAATAGTAATTCTTAGAACCTGATTGGAGTGTCATTGGTTTTACTGGCAAGACTTGTAATCTTCGATAAATAAGATGGATTTATTCCCATAAGTCACAGTTAGTTTTATAACTAATTTTGTGACTTGAAGACCCCTGAATCAAGATTTATTTGATATTTATATCTAAGACTTGCCGAGTGTCACTGATATCCATCCTTCAGTGCAGTGTTAACTGTGAGCTTCTTTGTCACGCTGGCAAGAAAGTACTGGCTATCTGGTAGTTGGAAGCTCTCCAACCTGATTTTTACAATTGTGTCCAAGTAGCCTACTGCGTAAACTGTTAAACTAGTAATTTGGATGGTCTGGTTTAGGAATGGTATCTTGATACACGAAAATTAAAGCATAGAAAACAGCAGAGATTGAGGCCCAACACATGCAACAAGTAGAAAAAACCTAGGGTTTCTTCCTCAAACCCTAACAAGGGAGCAAAAGCTTCCTTTCCTTGTTCCTCTTATTTATGAAGAATATCATGTTGATTCTTCTGACAGGACCCCACACACCTCTTTTGTTCATTACTTTTTAAGTACAAAAGACAATAATGTCGCTAAACAAACATCAAATTGACAAAATAGTTCTTACTTAAAACAAAATTTGTAATGACATTTTGATCTCTGATAAAACAAAAGGTTCCATCAACATTGTAAGTTATTTTCTAAACAACTCCTGAAAATATAATTAAAAAAAATCCTTGAATCCCAAAAAAACTTAAAAACTCTAAAATTAAACCCTAAAATTGAAATCAAAATAGACATTCTTTGAAATTAAATAAAAATAAAAAATAAGAATAGCTTTGTCATGCATTAATCTCCCTAAGTTGGAGAAAACTTGTCCTCGAGTTTTGAAGTAGGCTAAGATCTTTGTTGGCTCAAATATTATTTATGGTAAGAAGAAATCTTCAAAAAACGGATCCTTGTATGTGTAGTACGGAATTGATACAAACTTATCAAATTCTGCTATCCCTATTTCATTACTCTTTGGATCCATTGCCAGAATTTGCGGTTTACAAGTCGACCATGCTTTCACTGTACTACCATAATTCCAATGCCTTAAATCTCTTAACTGCTCCTCCCCATGCTACCTTCTCTATGTATTCTTCATGAGCAAAATCCTCTTCCGAAACATTCTCATCTTCATCTTGATCCTTATCAAAGATCATATTTCCTCATATTTGGTTGTAGTTCTGATGTAGGAGAAATTGAGGGAACAATAAAATTAGCAATAAACAAGTCAAACACAAGCAATTTTGGAGAAACACTAGGGTTTTCTCCTACCTAGGGCTCAAGCTTCAGGCTTCTTTTACAAGACAAAGTCTTTCTTTTCTTAAAGAGTTTAAGAGACAAAGCCTTTTTTTTCTTAAAGAGGAATACATGAATGACTCTCCAGCCCATCCATGCTCTTATTTATATTGAAATTTATTGTTTTGGACAATATTTTGTCTATACAATTAACTTTTGATCAAAATGTTGAAACTAAACTCCGTATCTTTAATTAAAATATCTAAAAAGTTCCTAGAATTCCTAGAAACTAAAAAACCCTAGAATTAAACTTTAAAACTAAAATAAAAAATATGCATCTTTTAAAATTGAATTGAAATTAAAAATACGTATAATTTTTCCCTCCATCAAGTTCCCTAGCCTTGTTGTTAAAGAAAACTTGAGCTTTGATATGAAATTAATAAAATTGAAGCAGTATAGAAAACATCAGCAACTCAGGCCTAACACACATAACAAGTAGAAGAAACCTAGGGTTTCTTTCTCAAATCCTAACAAGGTAGCAAAAGCGTCCTTTTCCTTATTCCTCTTTCCTCTAAAATAAATTACGTGAAGCTCCCCGTAGGGCCTTAGACACCTCCTTTATTCATTACTTTATCTACCTAACTTAAAATGAAATTTGTAATGATATTTTCACCGCCTGATAAACAAACTATATCCTAAAAATACATATATATAAAAAAAACTCAGTCCAGACAAAAACTTAAAAACCGCAAAAACAAACCTTGGAACTAAAATTAAGATATGCATCCTTTGAAATTAAATTAAAATTAAAAATAAGAACAAATTTGTCCTACATTAATCTCCCCGAGTTTCGAGAAAACTCGTCCTCGAGTTTTGAAGAAACCCTGTGTTCATCTTCATTCATCGTCCTTTTACTTATTCCCCTTTTCGCATAAAAAGAAAAAAAAAATGATCATGTGAATCTTCCCTTAAGGCCCCATGCCCCGCTATTCACTAATGAAAAAAATAGTGCCCCTAACCAAACATCAAATTGACTAAATTGTCCTAACTTAAATGTAACTTAAAAGTAAATGATCTTAACTTGAAATAAAAGGGAAAAGATCCTGTCAGCCCAAGGGCGTACTGCTACAGTAAACGCCAACGGCCCAGATTGAATCTGGGCCGATTGGACAATTCCGAATATCCGGTAGTGGTTGAATTTAATTTTTTTCTACAAATCGGATTGATCTAAAATTTGGAACGTGTGTACATAAAAAATAGGTGAATCTTCGAAAAATATAAAAAAAAATATTTTACATGGAAAAAATTGACCAGAAACCCCTGTAAAGTTTTGGGGGTATTTTGGTCTTTTTTTAGGATTATTTTTTTAACATTTTTATTAAGTGCGCCTTGATGAGAAGAATAGATACCTAAAATTTAAAGTGATTTGGATTTATAGAAAAAAAAATTAAAATTCAAACAAGAAAAGAGGTCGTGACCGTCAGATTGGCCCAGATTCAATCTGGGCCATTGGCATTTATTGTAGCGGTCAGCTAGTGGGCGTACAGAATCCACTCTAACTGGTCCAGCAAAGAAATATAATAAAAAATATCTGAAAATAACTCTAAAATGGCTAGAAAATTATCCCAAGCAGGCCTTGCTCTTCTAATTCTTCTTGGTAGTTCTCCTAAGGTTTATATCTTTGAAGTATCTGCTAGTATTAGGAGGAATCTGCTGCTCCCAAAGAAGATACTCATCGCCTTGACCACTTGAGGCACTTTGCGCATCATCATATCTATCTTAGGTCAATGGAGTGGCATTGTTTGATAAGCTTATAAATGTGGTTTGGGCTTCCCTTATATAATTGTCATTTATATGGAAAAACTTACAAGATGATAGAGACTTCCATTAACATTAAAAAAAAAGAAGCAAATGATGACAGATGCTTCTGTCATCTTTCTTTATCATTGGGGTTCTCTGGCCATCATATTATTTATGTAAGATTGAATGAAGGGTAAGGTCAATTACGATTAAAAAACTTGTTCCAAAAAAAAAAAATTACCCTGTTTGTAGATTGATCTTCATTGTTACATTATTAGGGCTTTATGTGACAATTTGGATCAAGATGGATTGCTAGAAATTGAGTTTCATGATGTGGCAGTTCATTTCTCCTTGGATATATATTAACTGAACTTTCTCCAGCCCATCATTCTCTGTAAAACTTTTTCTATGATAAAATGATAACCGTTTTTTATTTATGACTCATCAAGGATGGTGAACTTGGTGATGACGATCAAGAAGAGGACGGGCCTCGTGATGCAGATGCCGAGGGTAGAATTGAAAAGTATATTGGAGTAAAAGTGAAGGTACTTAGGAACATGTTCTGTCTATTCAATAGCTCTTTTTTTATTATTATTTGGAAAATTAGGATAGTTTTTGGAACACCTGCATATAAAATACCAATGTGGTACTTGGAGTCTCATTCTATTTCTTTTCCCCCCTCTTCTTTTAAATGCATATTTTACCTCTGACATTAATGTCTGAATATTCAATAAGTGAGGAAAAAAGGTGAAATCACTGAGGATAAAACAATCATTTTAAAAGAGCTGACAGTTCTGGGTACTGTCCTGGTATTTCAAGTTCCTAGAGCAACTTTATGATTTTTGCACATGTATCAATTTTTGAGGTACTGCCCTGATATTTTTGAGGATCACTTTTGTAGTTATATTTTGCTATAAGCGCTCGTGTACGTTGGAATATTCCAACACGTGCTGCTTTTAATATTCCCACCATGATTTGGTCGGAAACAGCAAATTTGTGGATGCAGATAAGATGATGCATGGGTACAAAACTGCAAACGATACGTGCCTATGCAAAGTGGCTTTTAAGGAGGTTTGCCCCCTCCAAGAGGCTTTCTCTAATAAAATTGTTATTCATCTGTAATGTTTTGCATTCATATTTCTTGTGGAATCGTATCAATTGGTATCAGGCCAAGTTTCTAGGCCCTTTCAATGGACTGTCTTCAGTGAAGGAAATAGTGCAAGGTACAAAGTAGACCCAATAAATCATCACCAATCAAAGACAAACCTGGTCATACTTCAATTCTTCAACAGACGCACAAAAATGCAACAACGAAGATATGATCAATGCGCTAAAATTCAGTAACAAAGCTAGGTTATATGTGGTAACTCGTATAGAGCATTGGCATGATGTGCAGATGCTTAATGCTTTATACCTACATGTACCATGAACGCCAATGATTTTTGTGGAGCTAACACTGTGCATGGTCAAAGTGAGATTCTACCATATAAAGAGGTTGAAGAAGATAAAGGAGGGTGAGAAGGTGAAACTCTTGAAAGACCGAAGAATGGAGTGAGCAAGCATCAGTAAAGGGGTGAAGAAGGCGAAGTTGCGAAAGATACGTAGGGAACACTGGAAGAGGAAATCCCCCATGAGCAATGTGACTTTTGAAGTATAGAATTTATTTTATGGGCTGGTTTTCCTAGTTTATGATGGGGTACATTGGTAGGAAATTTGAATGTTTAGAAAGTAGGATGTTTTGATTGGGCTAGAAGATAGAAGGTTTTTGAATGCCTGAGAAATATGGGGAGAGTAGCACAGAGAAGGAACTTAGAAAATCAAAGGAGACCAATTAAACGACCGGCCTCCTTGAAGTGACTTGTGATGAAATTTGCCCCCACGAAGAGGCTTATATCTAATAAAATTATTATTTACTACAGTATTTTTCAATTATGTTTTGTGAGATGGTATCAGTGCAAATACCAATTTCCTAATTTTTTGTCATATTTCTGTTGTGCTTACTGTGACCATGGCAGGTTTCCTTTACTGGGCATGGAGAGACTCAATCAATGAAGCAGTTGTCTGGAGGTCAGAAAACAGTTGTTGCGCTAACCCTAATTTTTGCTATACAGAGGTGTGATCCTGCTCCATTTTATCTTTTCGATGAGATTGATGCTGCCCTTGATCCTCAGTACAGGACAGCAGTTGGAAGTATCCTTTATTTCCCTCTTTTGTCCGTGTGTGTGTCTGTTCTTAACATAAAGTAGTGATCGGTTCTATTTTGTAGGGAATTATATCATAATCCAATGGGACCATGGAAAACCATGTTACACAATTGCATTGGATTACAGTATAGTTTCATTATTCCAAATTCATTTAGTATTTGTAGTTTTATGCGATGGAATTCGTTTTTCTTTTTTTTTTCAATAATAACACTTGAAATTGATTCCTCTTTTCATGTTCTATTTTAGATAAGTTTTTATGCAAGTCCATAATTTACTTAGAAGCATGTCACAGACAGACTGACATGGTTACTTTCTCAGATTATATGAATGTTGCCCGGTTCTTTGTGGTTTCCTCAGTCAAATTGAAAATGTCTTTGCCATGTTAGTTGACTTGGTGCCATAGGTGTCATGTGGTCACAGATGAGTGTCTTGCTCAGGTTTTCAGATAAAAATAGTGCAGGAAAACAACCAATCTTTTTGCCCAAAAATAATATCAGGATTTTCAGATTTTGAGTTCTCGCCTGTATTTTCATTTTGGGGATATTTGCAGTCAAACACATTGAGCCGTTTCGGAACAATAGTTGCTGTTTGTTTTCGGGGTTTGAACTTCTGTGGTTTGTCAATCCCCATCATTTTGAAAAAACTTACACTTCAGCTGTTGGTTGGTTGATTGGTATCTTACTTTGGATTCCACTTCGGATTCCACGTAAACTGTTTGCGATTAAACTTTTCTTTTAGTTATATTTTGCATCTCTCTCTCTCTCTCTCGTGTTCCTTTATGACCTTAACGTCATTTCAAAGATATGATCCGTCGACAAGCCGATGAAGCAAACACACAGTTCATAACCACAACTTTCCGCCCAGAACTGGTCAAAGTTGCTGATAAAATATACGGAGTCACACATAAAAATAGAGTTAGCAGTGTGAGTGTCATCGATCAGGATGAGGCACTTGCATTCATTGAGCACGACCAGACTCACAATGAGTGAAGTCCTCTTATCTTTGGTCCTCAGATGCTTAAACGGTTTTGATGCATCCATGTCGAGAGAAATATTTCAGATACAAGAAGAAAGAAAGCAATTTCATAGCCATCTCCATGGCAATTAATGAGCGTCATAGCTTCTGATTGTGCCGGTGGAGCATTATCATTGTGCAGTCCCTGGCAGCATTGGATTGATCCGTGTACATGTAATGTGCTTGTTTAGGTTAATGTAAAAATCTCTAGGGTTGGATGTACTGTGAGTGATCATGTACATGTTTACTTTGTCTGGACAAGTTTACAATGGGGATATGATAGTATTGAATGAGGAGTTGCTATGAAGATTGGATAGATGAGAGGATTATTGCGGCTACCATGTAGTTGTTATTATCTTTTTTATTATTCATTTTTTCTTACTTTATATGGCTCTAATAGAGCAGAATGGCGGATCAAAATTGTTGTAGCTGGCCTTAATTAAGTGAGAAGGTTATGTTGATGGTATCTTCCTATTTTGCTATCTAAAATAGGTCTTTAACCCAATAACTTTGATTCAACTTATTGGGTACTAGTTCCTTGGGGACTTCTGGAAGGCATGGCAGAGACAGAGAGAGAGAGAGCTCCATTTGATAGCTCCAATTTATTTGAGAGAGAATTCCAATTTATTTCAGAGAGAGAGAGAGGGATAGAGAGCTCCAATTTATTTCACAATAGGTTTTACACATTCTGCCATGATGGCTTTTTTGGCTCACCAAACATCACTTTTTGTTTGAAATGACTAGCCTGGATTGACCAACTATTTGGCCAACTTGTGAGCCGCTGAATTTCAACAAATTTCAGCTACGTGTCACCAAAGTCTGCCAAAAACAACCTAGATGAATGAAATCATGATTATAGGCATCTAGAGCAAGTTGCATCAGCCAGTCTGTTTGGACTGCTGACTTGTACCTTGGTTTGTCTACACTAGAAAAAAAAAAAAAAAGTTTGGTTAAAGGTTAATGAAAATAAATATTTGGCTTATTGGACTAGCCAGATTTGATCGATTTGACGAAGTTAATAAAGTTGGGTAATTTTTAAAGATTGTTAATTAGGAGGCCATTTATCTTTGTTACAAAAAAGTCACAATCACTTTTAATCATTAAATACCCGATTGGATAGCTAGAGGTGTCTTGAAATTTAAAGTTTTTTTTTTTTTTAACTTATAAGCCTAGACAATGACACTCTTACAACTACCCGATTTGAAATCTAACGGATAACAGTGATTTTGACTTTGTTGTACTAAAAATTAATGATCTTTTTATATAGTTTTCAACATTGTAAGTATATTTTAGGATACTGTTTGTATTAGTCCTACGACTTCCCCACTTCATAAATGAATTTTAGACTTAATTTTTTAGGTATATATAATCTCTGTCATGGAGATCATGAAATTGATTTTACCTTGCTTTAAAAATACCACAATTCCACACATCTTTAAGAAGATGAATGTGATGTCTCAAGGGACATAAATGTAGTTACGCATCCCCGCCTACTTTTCGCATATTTTATAGTTTAAAACTCAAACTTATATTTTTCTTTTCCTCTTTCTGAAATTTGATCGAACTTGTTCAACTAGCAAGCATACGGGTTTATCGATCAAACCCCTCACAAGTTGATTTGATCCTAATAACACTATCTTATCAAATATTCAACTTAGTTGCATTCCATATTTTATAGTTTAAAACTTGAAACTTATATTTTTCTTTCTCTTTCTGAAATTTGATCGAACTTGTTCAACTAGCAAGCATACTGGTTTATCGGATCAAACCCCTCACAAGTTGATTTGATCCTAATAACACTATCTTATCAAATATTCAACTTAGTTGCATTCCTTAGACAATGTACTTATCCATCCATCTAGAAGCAAATATTGCAATATATCTGGTAATGAGATTGTTTGCCTATTGTATAATGTCACAATCATCCCTTGCCACCGGATGTAAAATCTGACATGAGAAGTATAGCTAAGCTTGAGAAGTTCTCTTTTGGATTTTGACTCTAGTCAATGACACAACCCTAATCGCCTAATTTTAAATCTAACCACTAATAATAATTGCGAACTCTGTACACCAAAAGTTAATAATAATCTTGCTTATTTTTTTTTACCTTAAAAATAACCTATTGCATATACAACAAGTGACCAACTTAATTTCATTTGCTTAATTGACACTTAAAAACTAATGCCTCGCCATGCTAGTTTTAATTGGACCCTTCATTAAACATACTACTAATGCATTGCATACCCGTTAATTACATGCAAATACCCACTGGTATCTGATCCCACCAGTGCTTGTTTTTTTCTTGTGTGTTTTTGCTCCAAAAAAGATTGCACGGTCAACATCTGCAATATCAGGATTAAATGCTGGATTTCAACCAGGAATGCATAAAAATCAGCGTTTTTCTGGCCAAAAAACTGTGAACATTTGATACTTGCATATTCAAGTTTTTTTTTTCCCCCGGTTTTTGTTTGGGTTTTTTGGGGGTGGGGGTTTGACAGAGAGAGAGCATACGTCGACCTTCAAACTTACTACCAACAGTATCACAGCTGTATATGGTGTCATCAGACTCAAAACCATACGACACAATCTCCAAGAGGCTCAAAACTCTCAACAAGGAACACAACCATTTGAAATGGCAGGGTTGATTGACAACCAAGGATTCATTGCTGATTCTAATGACAGTTGCAGAGAGAGGGGAGAGGGGATGCATCATTTCTTCGGGTTAGCATGGGCAATAACCTTTGTGAGAACATAGCAATCAGGTGGAGTGATATTCGTGTAATAGTTCTTAATGGTCTCTGTAATTTCAAAACCGAATTTCTTGTAAAAGCTGATGGCTTCTTCATTGTTCGTTTGCACATGCAAGTAGACTTCCACTATATTTGGCTCGTTAGAGCACAAATCAAGAACATGCATCAACAGCTTTGATCCTGCAAGAACCAAGAGCACATTAAAAGCTGTGAGAATCCAAAAGAGCGATGTGTAGAAAATCAGTTACATGGGCATGGTTACTGTAAGCTACTCTCAAAGGACAGGGAAGGAGGTCTTAAACAATCACCACTCTTACAGATCATTTATTTCTACCAATTGCTATTTTTGAAGGAAAAAGAAGCTTCAAATGGCCTTGGAAATACCAATGATTCAGTCGGTATTTGCCCAAACACCTATCCACCAAGACTTGGAAATTGAGACCTATTGATAGTAACCCAAGGTAAACTCCTCAACTCTCCCCTACAAGTATCCTCTAACCCATTTGAGAACTCTTCCTTACCTCTCTCTACCAAGTGCCCCTTGACACTGATTTCTCTGTTTAAATTTCATCACGGAAAACAAGAATTTCTTTCACCTCCTTACCAAGGAAACCGTTTCACACTCTACTGCCATATCTTCAGCCCCCAGCAAAACAGTCAACTCTTACATGAAAACCTCACTTGAGGACATAAATACAGTGGTCACCCAAACTTTATGAAGTTAGTTTAGCAAGCTTATATACATCTTATATGATTGCAACTTTTCTGATTTCTAAATATGCATTTTGTCTCAACCTTGAATTCTGTATGCCTGAAAGGTAAATATTTACCCAATAGAAATTATTCAGGACATTTGTTTTTTTTTTTTTTCGCACTCAGTGCATCTGTCTCGAATATCTTATATTGGCCATAGTTATTGCATGAGCATAGCCCTAACCATGCCTAATATTTACACCATCCTTTAAGCAGTTGATTCATCGGAAGATTCAGAAAGAAAAAGGGTGAGAGAAACACACTTGTCTGCATGAGGGCCATGCCCATGCCAGAAATCAACAATAGTTGGGGAGCCAACAGAGCATTGTTCAAACTTTCTAGATAACGAATTATAGTGGTCTTCCAAAATTTTGAAAGATAAAAAAGGACATTATGAATTCATTGGTATGACAGCACATCTCAATATATATGCTTCTATTCAATGATGAAAAGTTAACCCCCCAAAAAAAAGAAAAACTGTGTAAGATAACTTTGATCGTATTTGAAATGGCTATTTTCCAGAGGAATTACAACAAAGGGGGTGAAAATAATATATTGAGAGGAGTTTTTAAGAGTTGGAAGGTCACAATTGGGGATTGAGACTATCGAGAATGATTGCAATGCATCAGTTACACAAAAGAATGAGAAGGGAAAACAAGAGGATAAGAATACCGCTATAGTCATGCTGAGGAATGAGCAACATTGGGCAGTTTTTGAATCAACATGGATAAGCAAAAAATAATATACTTTACCTTAAGTGACCATGGTAAAATCATTTAATGTCACCACAGCAATTGAAGCTAAAAATAAATCATTAACTCACCAATCCCAAGGCCACGATAAGGAGCAAGAACACCCAATGTCATAATGTAAACTCGAATGGCTCCGCCTTCTTTTTTCTCAAGTCGGCATGCAATGGCACCGACACAGATGTCACCGTAATAAGCTGTTAAAGAAAAAAAATAAAAATAACAGTAGTAAATTACTTGTAACTTTCTCCAAACTTGGCAAATCTAGCACGTTAGCAAGTAAAATGAGATGTACAAATTTTTATTCCATAATGGGCTTGAGTCATTCCATAATGTGTTCCATAATGAAAATCAAGCTCGATAAATTTTTTAAAAAAATAAATAATGCGTCATTATTAATGTTGATGTCAGCTATAATGAGAATATTTACGTCAGCTCCAATCATAGTCTTTAAATGTCAAAAACTGGGTGGATCATATATGAATCGATAGGGTGATAGGAAGAAAAGCTGACTTTAGTAATCAAGTAAGAAGCTATTCAATGAACTGCATTTCCTTTCCGGCTTATGGATGAAAAGTAGCAGATTGCCTTTCCAAATGTAACAAACTTGCACAGCACACTGGAAAACGCCACTCTTCACGAGCCTTACAATCTTTATGTTTACCATAGAGTCCTTCTCATGCCACCCGAAAGAGTTCTAATACAACTACCTAACATTGATTCACTAGTAAATCAGGTCTACCAAAATGAAAGTGCAAAAGTTAGACTTGATTAGGAATAACCTTGTGATGGTGGCTGACATTCAGAACCATTTACGTAGATATGGTTATGCTAAGAAAACACAAATCCCTTTTCTAGTCAAAATAAATAAAGCTGAGCATAATTTCTAGAAATTTGAAACATGGGAGTGAGCTTTCATAAAGGATTTGTTGAAAGATTTTCAGACTCAGTAGTGGAATTGAATGCTAGTCAGGAGAATCTGAGAACAGACGCCTTTCCTATGTGTATCAAAACTAGGATACAAGTTGGAGATGTTGAAATATTTCATACTTATTTCTACACATAAGAAAACTAGAGTTAATGAATTAATGGTTGCATGCATCGCAATATTTGAAATTATTGCAAGTAATAGATTCACCAAAATCTATTTCACCATCATCATCATCCAAGCCTTATCCTAATTATTTGGGGTCATGAATCATGTTCCTCCATGCTTCTCTATCAAGGGTCATACTTTCAATAAGATAAAAAATCACTATATCTTTTCTTACTACTTCTATGCATTTCCTTTTGGCCCTTCCTCTTGTCCTTTTAGAGCCTTTCACTTGAACCAAATCGAACCTCCTAACCGGTGCTGTATTAGGTTTACGCTATACATGGCCAGCTCAACTAAATCTACTTTCCCTCATGTTATCGTGCATTGAAGCCATTCCTAAGTTCCCTCATATGCTATCATTTCTTAACTTGCCACTCATCCACCTCAACATCCTAATCTCAGTTACACTCATCTTATGATATATTGTTTCTTGACAGCCCAACATTTTGTTCCATAAAGTATAACCGGTCATACAATCGTCCTATAGAACTTCTCCTTCAGTCTCAATGGTATGAGGCGATCACAAAAACTCCATATGCACATCTCTATTTCGCCCACCCAGCTCTAATTCTATGTGCGACATCTTCCTCAATCTCTCCATTCTCCTGTATTATCGAACCCATATATCGGAAACAATCTCTTTTAAGGCATTTTTTGACTATCAGATGGGTTCAACACCGACCCATGATGTAGGCCCATTGTCACTGAGAATTCACTTCCCTCTCTACTAGTTGTCCGCACACTAGTTAGCGCTCCATCATGCATATCTCTCACTATGTCAATATAGCCTCTAGCGACTTTTCTTTCCAACACCCACCAAATTAAATCTCCAAGTACACTATCATATGCTTTTTCTAAATCAATAAAGACCATGTAGACGTCTTTTCCCTTCGCCCTAAGCTTCTCAATCAGTTGCCCAAGTAGGAAAATGGCTTTGGTAGTTGACGCCCCCTGATATAAAATCGAATTTATTTTTTGATACATTCATTTCATGCCTTAATCGTTGCTTAACCACTCTCTCCCACAACTTCATAGTGTGGCTCATAATTTAATCCCTTGATAGTTTGTACAATTCTATGTCTCCTTTGTTCCTACAAATAAGCACCACAATACAAAAATCTATTTAACACATATATATATATATATATATATATATA